CTGTATTATAAGGCTCAAAATTCTAAGACTCTGAAGTCTTAAAAAAAATAAGTATAACTGTTTAGCGTTAAGCATAGGGAATAATAAATACATTTATTCAGTCTAGTCTGATTCCTTTGATAGCTGAAATGACCTCAGAACTCAATTATCTGCTTACTCTGTTAGCTAGCTAGAAATATTACTATTCATTCATTTTGAAGCATGTGGACAATGTTCTAAAAAACTATCATGTATGCCAAAAACTTAGCAACAAACATTTTAAGGTAATGGATATCCATTTTGTTATTACCATAATGAAAGAGAAATTAGGAACTGCTATAATACACATGGTATAACTTGGTAGGTACTTACAGGAGTTATGTGGTGGAAATAATCATGGAAAGCTTGGATAATTAGATAATATTTCTTGGGAAAAGTGAGATTTGAGGTCTTGAGAAAAGGCTAAGATTTGGTAAGCAGAGAAAAAGAAGAACATTCTAAATGTGAAAAAAAGATACTAGCAAGAGGCAGAAATGAATGTGGCTTCTCTGGGGATCAATTAGGAGAACAGTTTGATTAGACTGAAAAAAGGAGCATGACTGCACAATCCCTTTAAAGTGAGCTACAAGCAGGACAACACTCACATATGAGTTAACATATTAAACAGCTCTAATACAACTGAAAGACATCAGGGCCCTTGGGATTCTAATCTACTTCCTTCCACTAACCAGTTATATCACTTACAAATTTCATTTACCTAAAAGAATACAAAGAAGTTACCTGACTTCAAAGGATTATTTATTACTGGCACAAACGGAGAATACTTGTCTTAAAGAACTTTAAACAAAAGGTAAGCACAATCAGGTACTCAAAATGGGAGGAAAACTCATATCTACTACAATATAACCTTATTATAAATCCCTAACAAAACACTAACTTTTTAAAATTTATTGCCTAACTACATGCATTTAAGGGTGGAGGAGCTGGAGAACTTGGGAAAGAGACCAGGTTCTATCAACTAGATGCTTCAGGAAAGCTTAGAAGCATGACAGGAACTAAATAAAATCCCTTGTTTTGCTGGAAAGGAAAGGTAGAAACGATTAGGAACAAAGTGAATGTATAATCTGTCATCCAAACTGGGACGCCTGAAAGTGAAAGGACTTGCAATTAATAATTATACTGGACAAGCATAAATTGGGACATATGATCACCCTTGTCATTATATATATGTCAAATTTTCCTAAAGGCAGTGAGGAATCAGAAGAATTTTAAATAAGAGTGACAGTATCACATGTGCTTTTAAGAAAGCTAACTTTGACAGCAATGAGAATGTGAAGAAAGTGAAACTAACTGAAGGAGGGAAACTGGTTAGGAGGTAGGAGGTTGTTTTAATAATTCTATGATATGATAATGGCTTAAAGTCAGGGCAGTAGAGATAGGACAAATCACAGAATTGTATTGGAGGTAAAATCTTTACATTTATTCAAAACTAAAAGTAATAATCCTTTATATGCATACTTTCTATTTTCAAAAGAATCCATAGAAAAGACAAAATAAAACAGTTAATTGCTATATTATGAAAGAAAAAACCTGAGACACAAAGAGTAGGAACAGTGCTTAAACTAGATCCTCACTTCATACTTAACAAACTGTCATTTAACCATACCTCCATGTTCTGAATGCAAAATTTAAGCTTTTCTTCTTCCAATTTCCACCTCTCCTTAATTCTCAATCTACTTTTGCATCAGTTCCTTTTGCTTCCCATCTGGCTTTTATTCTTTGAAGTGTACAGTATACACCAATGCAGAGGTCTTTATCCTCCTCACCCCCACTCCCAAGAATGGTCCCTGTCTGAAAACATTAGCACATCTATTTCATTTCCTACTTAAACCACAAGTGCTTTATCAATAAATTACATTGCTCTGGCAATTAAGTAAGAGTCAAGGGCAACTTACTGGATTTCTAAATTCTCAAGATTCCTGCCACATACTACACTGGGATTATCTTATGCTTTTGTTTTTCTGTTTACCTTTCCTACAAATCTGAATCCTTCACCACAACGTTTCCATGGAAGACATTCTCTCCCTTGATCTTTATGTCTACCTACTTTCTTTGAGAACACCAGCTCCCAATTGTGGTAATATAGCTGTACTACATTGCAGCACAGGAAATCAGAGTTCATATGCCCACAGCCTCAGGAAATGAGGTTAATGGGCATTCTAACAGAATACAGCAATAAAGGCAAAGCGGCTTTTGTTTCCAAACTGTCTACCTGCCCTCCAAGGGCAAGCAACTCTTCTCTTTAGAAAACATCATGTATTTAAGGGGAAAAAAAAAAAGAAAGAAAGAAAAAAAACTCTGCCAGTTGCCAAGCATAAAAGAGCATTTCTCAAGTTGGTGTCTATTATCATAATGGAGAGGAAAGGGAACTTACTGAGTTCCCTTTAGAAATTTAAATCTTTATATTTTCATAATGTATTTTTTAAAAAAATCAATAAACACATCGTAGATCATCTAGATTCCTCTAGATCAGGGGTTCCCAACCCCTGGGCCGAAGCCTGTCAGGAACCAGGCCGCACAACAGGAGGTGAGGTTGGGACCACTGTCTTAGATGACACAGTAGTGCCATAAAATTTCTGGGTCTGAATTTGCTTTTGTGTTTACAACCACAATAACATAAATCTAGTTATGTGCACTAATGAGAAATTAACATAAGTATATTTATGTAATAATAAATGCATCCGTACCCAGTAAAAAACAAATTATGTCAAGGCACACTATATGAATGAAGAGTTCATAGTAGTTTGAGCATACAAAATAGGGAGAGAATTGAGTCATTCTACACATGGTATAGGAATGGAAACCTATGAAAACAAATAAATAAAGGGGCTTTATATACATTATCCAAGTTTTAAAAACATTAGTGTAAGATATAAAAACATCAGGAATCCACAGGGAAAAGGAAGGTGTAAAGCATACAAATTTACCACAAATCTTCTGTTGGCTGCATTTTAACTATAATCAATTATTTCTTACATTCCATCTGGCTAATACTTGAATTGAAGAGATATAATACAGGGGAAGAATGCAGAATATGACATACATTACTACCGGTTGCAGTCTTGATTTTTAAAAAAGAATGAGTATAGGGACTGTTAAATAGGTTTCATGACCTCGATTTCAGCATTATACTGGTCAGAAACTGATGAATAAGATTATATTAAAAAGAGCTTTATTTTTCTTACATCATAAAAATAACATGTTTATTAAAGAAAATATAAAAATATGGAAAAGCAGAACAAAGAAAATAAAATCACCTACATTCTTCTCACCTAAGCTAATGTTTGTGTTTTGGACTATTTCCCTGTTTTTATTCAATAGACAGAATTCTCTTTGCTTTTTGCTTTTCCTTAACATGGCTGAAATCACGGTACACTACAAACCACTCATAAGCACTTAAACTTGAAATAACTTTACTGGATTCAAACTGCAACTCTACCTCTAAATCCAAAGAGGCCACCTGGGATTCTCTGAGTTTAGAGCCAAGTGAGAGACCCTAAATATCTTCTGATCCAGATTCAAAAAAACTTTAAGTACAAAGATCAAAGAATGGTTTATCTCAGAATATTTAGTGTTTGTTATAAATTTAATAAGGAGGGGGAGGGGGCGACATCTTGGTCAGTGAAAGCTAGTCTATAACTCTAGCACTAAAATACTACTGAGGTCTTTGATTCTAACTAATATATAAAGAGTAATGATGACTTTTCTGAAGTAAGGATAGGTAATGAGACTATGAGAACTTAAAAAAAAGTAATCAGAATCATAACAATTTAGAGAGAGAAAGATATACTTTGAATCTGGGAATGTAAATTATTTCAACTATAGTCTTAAATTACTTCACCGCAATTTAAAAGCTCTATAATTAAATGAACTTACCAACATTCAAAACAAACTATTGTATGTACATTTTTAAATACAGGAAGTCTCTGCATGATATACATATTAAAAAGTTGAACATTTCTAACCCACAAAAATACGTAATGAAATATAAGTAAATGGGAGAGGGGTACATGGCACATAACTAGAAGTTTAAAAGATCTGGCATCACACACACACACACATGCACGCACACACACGCGCTCAAGCATGCCCCACTGGAATTTTACTGGCTTTGTCACAGCCACCTATTTAATCTGGGATAACTCACTTAGTATCTTTGGCCAGAGTTTCTAAATCTATAAAAGGAGGAAGCTAGAGATTCAGTCTAGATAAACCCTTTTGAGATTTTTTTCTCCCTCTGAACACTTAATCTCACAAATCAAACTATGATTTTAAAAAACCCCACTTTTTAATAAAATTTCTCTTAAAATCAATTGAATTAAGTATTAAAGCAACAAATAAAAAGTCTTCTGGTAAATTAGTACTTATGTTATTAGAACTGGTTCCATCTAATGCTGAGGTGACACTTTCTCCAATAGCTAGTGACATACTGTTCTATATCAATTGCTTTCAGTGTATACTCCTAGCGAGATCAAATCTGCCTTTTATTTCTGCTCCCAAAATATTAATAAGAGAAGAAAACATACTATATCATCTATAATGTCTATATAGTAATAGCTTAAAAAAAATAAATACATAAAATGTATGTTTCCACACGCTGTATATTGAATAAGCACCTCTAATTACATAAAAAAATTAACTTCTGGATTCTAAGTAGTCAAAGTTTATATCTGAATTTTGCTCCTAATGAAATTCTATACTTTAATGATATAGGTACACTGTCCTCACCCTACAAATAAAAGCCCATGCTGGAAAATGTATACAGAAAATCAGTGGGGTTTATGAAACTAGTCAATGAAACACTGAAGTACAACTATCCTGCTATCTCTACATGCAGAACTGCTGTGTACTGTATACTTAGGAAGCTATCTAGTATCAAAATAGTTTAAAGAACAGCGAGAAACCCAAGTTTCAGTTAACTATTGGTTAATGTGCTTTTATAAAAACTCTGTTTGACTCACCTTAGTCCAAGGATGGGCCTTAATTTGAGGAAATTTGAATTCTGTATAGTTTGGGTTCATTTCTCTAATTTGCTCCCTTGTTGGTGTCCCCAGGACCTAGATAAAGAAAGCAAGTTATTGCCATATTTTCCGATACATTTACATATGTAGTCTTGGTTTCAATGTATTGGTTTCATTGGAAAGGGAATTCCAAAGATTTAAAATACATAACTCAAACAGAGCAGACTTTGACAAAGACTTAATTTTTAACTGACTACAGACCCATGCTATCCTACCCTGCACAGACTTTTACAATAACAATGTTAAGTCAGGGTTGTAAAAAAAGATCACAAAAAAATATTCAAGTAAAAATCAGGTATCTTTATTCTATCTAGAAAACAATCTATTGCAATGATGGTATCTGAAATTAGAATACCTTTTATTCATTTAGTAAAGTATAGCCAAAGGTTTTATTACTAATAAATTAATCAGGAGAACCCTACTCAAACAGTCATCAATAATTTCATTCAATTACTGAATATTTAGTGTTGTCCCGTGTAATATAGAGGATCAAAAAAAAAAAAAAAGATTTCCTGTATGATGAACTTATATATTTGTATATGGAAAAAGTATAACTGTAATACAGGATAAAAATATATTGATCACTTCATTGCCTCTAGAGCTGCAGTAGGCACGGAACAAAGGAAAGTACACAGACATGTCTGTACAAGAAGGATGATAGGAAGAAACACTAAATACTGAAAATGAGAACTTTCTAAAAAATGACATACATTATTCATCATAACTCTGGGGGCCTGGTAGAAAACAGGTTTGCTGAGAAAAATATTAAGCCATTTACAATTCAAGGATAGTTGCACAAAAGGAGTGGAATGTAATGATATATACTTAATTTGTAGTGGCAACCAGTGAATAATCAGGGCAAAGTAAGAAATTCAGTATTTTTTTTCCATTGATTCTAATTCTCTAGACTTCATTAAAATCTTCAGACCTTAATCAAAATCTTAACTGTTCTTCAAAAGACACTCTTAAGAAAACGAAAGCCAAGCTAGATTGAGAAAAAACATTTGAAAACATATATTCTACAAAGGAGTTGTATCTAAAATATACAAAGGACTATTAAAATTCAAAAATAAGACAACCCGATAAAAATAGGCAAAAGATATGACCAGACACTTTACTAAAGAAGACAGAGATGGCAAATAAGCACATGAGAAGATGCTCAACATCATTAATAATTAGGGAAATGCTAATTAAAACTGTAAGACACCACCTACACCCTTACTAAGAAGGCTAAAGTTTAAAAGACTATGTATACTAAGTCTTGGTGAGGATTTGGAGCAAATGAAATTGCTGGTGGAATGGTAAAGCATCTCAGAAAACACTCTGGCAGTCTGTTAAAAACTTTATATACTTACCATACACCATCAATCCCACTCCTAGGTATCCACCCAAGAGAAATGAAAGCGTATGCCCACACAAAGATATTTACACAAATGTGCATAGTATCTCTTTTGCAACTGCCAAAAAGTGGGTCCATAATAGGTGAATAAGCAAACAGTGGTTTATCTATACAATGGAATACCACTCAGTAATACAAAAAGAACAACATGGACAGATCTAAAAATAATTATACTGAGTAAAAGAAGCCAGACCAAAAAAAGTACCTACTGCATAATTTCACTCTTTTGAAATTCCAGACAATTTTCTGTCTCTAGTGCTACAAAGAAGATCCATGGCTGTGAAGGGCTGGAAGGAAATATTACAAAGAGGTACTAGGAAATTACTGGGGATGATGAGTATGTTCATTATTTTGATTTCATGCTGATAGCTTCACTGGTGTATATATGTCAAAAAGGAATCCAGTTAACTATAAACTTAGATGTAATTGCCAAAAAAAATAATTTTTGAACAAACTCCTAATGTCAGTGTAAAAATAATCTAAATTATAACACATCATTCTATCTCTGATTTCTAACATTGTTCTGGAGGGAAGCTCACTCTAGGGCACTGGATACACAGCTATACAACTTTCCTTCCTTCTTGTAGAATTCCAGCTTTAAAGAGAGAAGCAAAATATTGTCTATTACTGGGAAGGGAAATATCTGGCCTTCGTACCTGGAGATATTTATAAGTCAAGAACTATCCATACTTAAAATATAAAGACTAAAAAATTTTAACTTACTTTTTATTTTTAATAAAGTAAGCATTTATATATTCTGCTGAAAAGAATGTGTGTGAGTGTGTGTGTGTGTGTGTGTGTGTAGGTATATATGTACTTTGAAAGAGGGAAAGGAGTGAAAAAGAAAGGAGAGTGAATTTATCAATAATTCTGCACCCAAATGCAACTCCACTGGATTAAGTACTGAAGAAAAACAACAGCCATGACATGAATAAATAGTATTTAAAAGTACATACCTTCAGTAACCCTACAACTCACTAATTCCATTTTAAGGTATATATCCTAACCTAGAAAAACTATACATACAAGCCAACACTGTTCATAGTAAAATATTACAGGCAAAAGCAAAAATCCAACAGTAGAATTAGTAATTGTGGTATAGTCATACAAAGCTTTACTAACTAGCAATGAAAATGAATGCATCAGAGCTACACATACCTTATGGATGAATCTCACACAGCGGTGAGTTTTCATTCAACAATTTATAAACACAGTATGACTGCCTTATATGAAATTTAAAAACAGGCAACACTAAACTATATTTTAGTTTACATAGTAAAACGATGTAAAACTAAATCAAAAGCATGGGGGTATTCATTAGAAAACTCACGTACAGATTATTTAGCTAACAGGATGTAGGAGGAGGGATTATAACTGGGATGGGGCATAAATAGTTCCTCTAATTCTTAATATGAGTGGTAGTTATAGGCATATTCACTTTATTATTGTTTTATACTTAACATTTAAAAATATATTTTGCATTATATTTCACAATAAAATGACACTTAAGAAAGGCCCAGTGAGTATTTGTTGTGCAATCTCCCTCTATTTATTCAGTAGTTTGTTAACACAAGACACACTCCTAACTCCTTACACGCTGTTAAAAATGCCCTAAGGAATGAGAGTTGTATGATGTACACATTAGTAAATGCATCCTTTTACTGTATAGACAGAAATCTCATGGACTTATCAGCTGTTTGCCTAACTTTCCTATAGGGAATGTGTGAGAGAACTGAAGACTTACGAACTGTATAATGAAAAGGCAAGATGCTCTTTGGAGTGAATGTTACAATTCTTATATACATATACATATATATACACACATATATATATTTATTATAACCTAGGTATATTCTTAATGGAAATCAATCTGTAAAACGTAAAGCAGATGAGAAACATATGCCATATAGACAAGGTTCACTTAACAATCAATAATATATTTAATGTGAAAGCAAATAGGTATTCTATATGTGTATGTGTATATTAACACCCATAGCCTTCTGCCTAAATTCACTCTTACATCCACTTACAACCATTTCCCTCAAATACTTATAATTAACTAAGGTTCCATATTTATGACATTTTTAAAAATCATTTTTTATATAACCAGACTCTTTTAATGTAGGCTAGTGTATTCATGTGGAAAATCTTTTATCACAATGGAAAATAATCCGCTTTGAGAGTGATGATATAGTTATACTTCTAATTGGTGGTCACAGTTTAACTGTGTTCTTTACTTTCAAAATATGAATATTTGTGACTTAAGCTTAATTACTAACTAGTAAATGAAATCATTGATCTATTCACTATCAATTATTTAAAAGCAATTTAACCAAATAAATTAGCTTGTCACCACAAAGTAGCAATGGAGATTTTCATTTGTTCTTCAATTCAAAAACAGAGATTCTAATGTTGTAGTTTGTTCAATGTTTAATTTCTCTTGCCAAATATTCAACTACTATAATCATTTTTTCAATTCGTTTTATTATTCTTTCATCTTAAAACCAGGTTCTCCCTAGGCTGGCTAACAGAGATGGAAACTAGATGGGAGGTCCCTAGTCCATGGGTCAGAAAACTTTTTCTGGAAAGGGCAAGAAACTAAATACTTTAGGCTTGTGGGCCACAGAGCTTCTGTCGCTATTCAACTCTGTTGCCGCAGCATAAAGCAGCTATAAACAAAAATTTATTTGTAAGGATAGGCAGCAGATTGTATTTGGCTCCTGGGCCCTAGCTACCGACCTCTGATCTAGTCCAAATATTTCAGAGATGAGGAAAAACTGAGGCCCAAAAGGAGCAACTTTTCAGAGGTCAGAACTAATCAGAGGCAGAGCTAGGACATAATTTAAATCCTATTAGTGGCAAACCAATTTTAGGAGACAGTATCAAAGAATCTGTTTCTTGAACTTGGTTGGAGGACAAATTCTAATTTTGGAAGTTGTGAAAAATGTTGATGCTATTAAGCATAAAGGAATGGAGGCAGAAAAGAAAACAGTATTTTAGACATTCGAGAACCCAGAGGAGTTCTCCACCAAGTGGTAAATACTAGGTATATCATCTAGAAAAGAGCTTGAGGTTAGAAAAAAGAGCTTTGGTATTTGGTAGCTCCTGACATACAGGTACTAGGTGGTTGTGACATTGTATATAATAGGTGAAGCATGCTTTAGGAGAAGAGTGCTAAAGATGGGGACCCATAGTACACAAATATATGGAAAAAAGAAAGTTTAAAAAGAAGGCTGAGAAAGAATCCAAGAAATTGGAAGAGGTCCCACAATGATACCATGAAGAACAAGAAATGGGAACATTTAAAGTACAGAGAGGCAGGTATCATATGACACAATGAGCCCAGGTAAATTAAGCTCAACAGGTGTTCACTGCAGTTAGCCATGGAGGCTTCCTTTCCAACTATGGTGAGATCAGTCATAAGAGTAAGCAGACCATAATTATCGGAACTGAGTAAGTAGAGACGGCATATATAAGTTCTCTTTTTAAAAGGTATATCAGTGAGGGAAAGGAGAGGACAATGACAACTATTTATTGAGCATCCAGTATGTAAAAGCTCTGTGCTATGTAAATTAATTTTCTTTTCTCATTTAAAGTTTATAAATACTCTATTACCCTATTTTATACTTAAAAGAAA